TCCTTCCTTCCTTCCTTCCTTCCTTCCTTCCTTCCTTCCTTCCTTCCTTCCTCTTGCCAACTGAGATTATGTGTGTGCAGCTACGTGACTTTCAAGTGTGAATTATTTTGTCTACATGTATATATTGTACCACATGTGTGCCTGAGTAAGTGAGAAGAAGGCACTGGGCTCCTAGAACTGGACCATCATGTGGATGCTGAGAATTGAACCCAGCCCTTCTGCCATTTCTCCAACCCCTCTGAGATATTTTATGTAAAGATAGAAATGTCTAGTTTAGTGCTTTTTAATATAATTTTCCCATCTATTTAATAAGGAAAAGTATGTAACTATTTCAGTGAATGCTGTAACTATGACAAACATTGTTCTCAAATCACACCCACCCCCACACACTCCCCTTTGTTCTAAAAGATAGCTGGAGCTGTGAGAGGGTGTCAGAAAGTGTGGACTGCAGAAGTTCCTCAGGAGGAAACTAGGAGCTTTGAGGCTGTCAATACTATTATACTCTCCTTGGGGTTTTTTTGTTTGTTTTTCATTTGTTTACTTTTGTTTTTGTTTCTTTGAAACAGAATGTTAGCTTATAACTCATTGTGTAAACTGGGCCAGTTTGGCTTTGAACTTGTGGTTGATCTTTCTGTCTGCCCCAGAAGAGTCGTATACCACCATGCCTAGCACACATTTATGTTTTAAATTAATTTTTTTAAGTGAGCATACAAACTGGCTGATTTCCCCATGGAATGCTCATATGTATGTTATACTTCATTGTTATCTATCTTCTCTCCCCCCGCGCCCCGTCTGATCCTATTCCTCCCAAATAGTTCTCCTTTCTGTGTGTTGTCTTATCTTACTATCCCTATCCTTATGAGCTCTTCCTTCCCTCTCATGGTCCCTTTTCTACTTCCATGACTACAGACAGACACACACACATACCCCTAAATTCTGAATGTTAGAGAAAACATGAGGTACTTGTCTTTCTGAGTCTGGCTTACTTTGCCTAACATAACAATCTCTAATTCTGTCCATTTTCTTACAAATGTCATGACTTCATTTTTCTTTACAGCTTAAAAATTTTTCATTCTGTATTTATACCACGTTTTCTTTTTCATTTTTTTCCCCTTTGCCTTGGCTGTCCTGGAGCTCACTATGTAGACTAGGCTGGCCTCAAACTCCTGCAGATTTACATCTCTGCCTCCTGAGTGCTAGAATTAAAAGCAAGCCTGGTCTAACTCATTTTTTTTTTAAAATCTAATATGCACATAAATTGAGCATGTATCTTTCTGGTGTGTTATTCAGAGTCCTGTGGATACATACCCAAGAGTGGTTAGCTGAGTCATCTTTTAGTGTTTTACAGAACCTCCACACTGACTTCATAGTGTGCACTGGTTTATTTTGTTTTCGATGGCACTTGTGGTCCTAATAGAGGATAGACAAATATATTTTCAAGTGTTGTTGTATATATTATACTGAATTAGGCTTTGTTGCAGAAAATGAACTTGCTGTCAAATAATTCTTTAAATTACTCAAGACTAATCAAACTAGATCCTTCAGAAATATTTTTGGTGTCTGGTGGAAGCTCAGGCTGTGAACATGCTAGGCAAGCACTATGCCATTAAGTGACATCACCACTATTTTCAAAATACATATGTAGTAGAACATAAGTGTTCATCTATGAAATATTTATTAAAATTCTCTGAAATGCCATTCATTTATATCCAAGCATCTAGAGTCAGTAAAATAGATAAAATCCTGTCCCCAACAAGCTTATACCCTGATTGGAAAGGGAGACAAGAAAAATAACACACACACACACACACACACACACACACACACACGCATGCACATGTGCATGCAAATGCCAGATCATAGTAAATACTATGAATAAAAATGAAAGGCTTAGGAGATAGTGACAGACTTGGCTTGATACATTTACTTTAGAGTGGCCTCCTAGATAGGAACTGAGGACAGATATGAATGAAATGGAGAACTGTCTTGTTTGAACATTCAGTAGAAGAGTTTTCCATACAGGAAGGGAGGCAAAGGCAGAGGATCATTTAATGACCTATAAAGTCCTGCAAGCTCCATTTGAGATTAATCTTAGGACCACAGAATCATGTACCAAGTAGTAAATTTATATTAAATATATAAATTGCTATGATTAAATTTTTATCCATGTTTTTTACTTTTTAATACTTTTATCTTAATTTTTTTTTGTTGTTGTTTTAGGAAGAAATTGATCCTGAGAAGGTGGCATTTCTCCTCCACAAACAATGGACTGTATATAGTTTAACTCCCCTGTATAAATTCTCCTATACTAACCTCAAAGAATATTCTAGACTTCTAAGTGCATTTATTGCTGCTGAAAAGCAAAAAGGACTTGCTGTGGAGGTGGGAGAAGACTTCAACATCAAAGTGATTTTCTCGACTCTACTTGGAGTAAAAGGGACACAAAGGGACCCTGAAGCTTTTCTTGTGCAGGTATAGTAATATGTGTGTAGCATTTGCTTCACAGAGGGGAAAAAATTTGTGTTTTGTTGGTTTGTAAAGGAGATTATAGTGTTTTCTTATTGCTTGTCTGTTTTTTTGTTATTTTTAACTCCTAAGTTTGAGATATAAAAAGTTTTTTGATTACATTTATGTATTTATTTAATTTTATGTGTATATGTATGTGATTGGGTGCCACTGTGTGCTTGTGGAATTTGGAGAACTTACTGGAATTGGCTCTCTCTAACTTGTAGGATCCTCGGGATAAAACTCAGGTTGTTAGTTGCAGTACCAAGTGCCTTAATTTGCTAAGCCATCTTGCTGGTCCAATTCTTGTATTTTGTTTTGTTTTGTCTTTTTTTTTTAAAATTTTATTTTGTATTATAATAGTTAGATATAGCTAACATAATTTGTTTCCTACATGTGTAGGAAACTTTTTATGGGTGGAATGTGATGTTGACTTTAGAAAACACACAGCAGTATAAAGGAAGTTATAGGAACTTGTGCTTGCAAGATGGCTCAGCAAGTTAAGGCACGTGGGCAAGGCTGGAGGTCTGAGTTCCATACCTGGAACCAAAGGTGGAAGGAGAGAACTGTTTCCACAAAGGTGTCCTCTGATCTTACATTCCATTCTGGGCACACACACCCTTGAATCATGCACTCACATACACACAAGAATACCTTTTTAAAAATAATAATTTAACATTTTGGTATACATCTATTTGTTTATCTGAATCAGTATAGTGTTAAAATTGGAATCTAACTGTCCATACTTTGTGTTTTGGCTGTAGATAATTACTCATAATTAGGAATTCTACATTTTTGTAGATATAGAGATGAATGTTCTAGTTCTTTTCTTTCTTTCCTCTTTTTGTTTGTTTGTTTGTTTATTTTTCATGACAGGGTTTCTTCCTGTCTATCCTGAAACTTGCTCTGTAGACTAGGCTGGCTTCGGACTCACAGAGATCCACTTGCCTCTGCCTCCAGAATGCTGGGATTAAAGGTATGTGCCACCACTACCTGGCTTCTACTTATTTTCCGTTGAGATAAAACACTGACCAAAAGCAACTTGGAGAGGAAAGAGTTTATAAATTGGCATACCCTTCCAGTACATACACTTCGTGAGAAAAGCCCAGGCAGGAACTCAAGCAGAGACCAGAAGGAACGCTGCTTACTAGCATTCTCCCCACAGCCTTTTCAGTTTGCTTTCTTACACAATCCAGGCCCATCTGCGCACAATCCCTTATCAATCATTAATCAAGAAATGCCCCAGAGACTTGTCTACAAGGCCAGTCTGGTGGAGAAATGCCTCAATTGATGTTCCCTCTTCCCAGGTGGCTGTATGAAGTACGATTAATAAAAACCCAGAGAGAGAAGGTCCAAAAAGCAAAACAGCCAGTCACTGGCTCTTACCACTGCCTCAGTGCAAAATAGCGATCCTGCCTCCAGGAAACCTTAGAATGAGACTGAGGCTGAGAGCTGTCTCTTTCCATTTTATATTCCTCTCTAGGACTGGGATTAAAGGTGTGCACAACTGCCACCTGGTATCTATGGCGAGAGCTAGTGTGGCTCCTGGGATTAAATGTGTGTGTTATTGTGGCTACTGGGATTAAAGGTGTGTGTTACTGCTGCCTGGTCTATAAGGCTGACCAGTGTGGCTGTTTTATTTTTCTGTGATACACAGGCAAATTTTATTTATTAAAATACAAGTGAAATGCCCCTACAGCTGTAGCTGTAGCAAGGTGACTGAAAACTAACACACTATTATTCATTGAATCTTTTTTTTTTTTTTTAGGTTTTAGCTCCTAGAAGAAAAAAATTAATAAAATTATGGCATTATATCATCCCATATGGTACGTGATGCCATGTGACTCTCAGAAATACAGTGCTTCATATCTTTTCCTGTAAATTGTGCAGGAAAACCTACCTTTTGATTAGTTAAGAGATTTGCTTTTGTTTTTGAGACAGAGTCTTACTATATAGCCTTGGATTTGCTGACTTAGAACTTTCTGTATTGACCAGAAGGTCCTGGAACTCAGAGATCCTCTTGAGATCATCTTGAGTTCAAAATTAAAAGTGTATCCTGCCACACCCTGCCACATTTGCCTCTCCCCCACTTTTCTTTCTTTTTCTTGACACAAGGTCTTCCTGTTTAGCATTGGCTGGTCTGGAACTCAGAGAGATCTGACTGTCTCTGGCTTCTAATTTCTGGGACTAAAAGTTTGTGTGACTGTGCCCAACTCAGATGAACTAATCTTAACCTTTGAAAATGGAAATTAAATGTAGCAAGAATAATAAAAACCCAGAGACAGATATTGGGGTTCAACCTGAAGATTAGAAAAGCAAAGCAGCCAGCCACTAGAGAGCTCTTACCTCTAAGAAATCCTCTTAACCACTGAGCCATCTTTCCAGCCCCAAAAGTGAAAGTTTCTTTTTCTTTTTTTTTTTTAGTTTTATTTATTTATTATGTATACAGTATTCTCAGTGCTCTGCCTGCAGGCCAGAAGAGGACACCAGATCTCATTACACAGATGGTTGTGAGCCACCATGTGGTTGCTGGGAATTGAACTCAAGACCTTTGGAAGAGCAGGTGGTACTCTTAACCACTGAGCCATCTCTCCAACCCCTGTCATATTCTTAAATTTACTTTCTGCTGTCTGGGGTGGGGGTGTGACAGCAATTTTAGAGAATCCTGAAAAGAAAATTTTTGGTTAATTGTCAAGTCCTGAGAGGGGTAGCTTTATCATTTGTTGTTCGATCTCTGAGTAATGGGAAAGTGCAGGGTTTATCTTAAGTCGTAGCTAGAGTAGTTTGTAAGGCTGGATCTTCTCAGTTAGCCACCTCAAAATTGTCCTGAACATATTGTAGTCCACAGCCAATCTTTAGGAGTTGTTTTTCAGTTTAGTGGTGTTATCATAGTCCTGGAAGAATTGTTGTTGTGGTGGCCCATCCTCCTCATGAAGACTTCAAAGCTCCCTGTTAGGCTCATAATTCACTGCAGGAAACTGATAGAGACACAAACCCGAAACCATGTATAGGAAGGTAGAGAAAACCTTTTTCTAATATTAGTACTCTATATGACCATTAATATCAAGACAAAAAGTTTTTTTTAATTTATTTTTTATTTTTATTTTTTTTATTTTTTTTTTGGTTTTTTGAGATAGAGTTTCTCTGTAGCTTTGGAGCCTGTCCTGGAACTAGCTCTTGTAGACCAGGCTGGCCTCGAACTCACAGAGATCTGCCTGCCTCTGTTTCCTGAGTGCTGGGATTAAAGGTGTGTGCCATCACCACCCGGCAAGATAAAAAGTTTTACATATATATAACACACACATATATATCTTATAAATTTTATACCTTAAGAAATGCTGTTAAAGAGCCAATATAAAACTAAAAGATTATGAGATTACTAGCACTAAAATAATCCTTAAAATTTTGTTTTTCTTCTGTTTTATATCAGGTGACTCTTCTGACATGAGACAGAGATTTTGGATTTCACTTTTAATAAGCATGCTTGGGTTTAGAAAAGGAGAGAGCCCATAGGTTGACTATTAACAGCTCTTATATCTGTCACCATTCTCCATTTTCTAGATTTCCTTTTAACAACAATTACAGAAGAATTTCAGGGGCTGGTTGATTTTTCAATATGCTGAGCATCTAGCTGCTCCTGTACCAGCTGTTCTAAAGCCTGTAGTTTCTCTTTTGTTAAAGACCATTACTTATCCCATAAAGTTTGTCTGTTAACCATTTTAAAGGTAAGGCTGTTGGTATCTTTGAAATAGCAGGTGTTGTGCCCTGTTCTTATACAACCTGAATGGTCAGTGACTGTTCTTTATAAAACCTTCTAATAATTTTCACAGAAACATACATTAATTTATAGTTTGTTTCTAAGATTGGGGGAATGTTAATCTGACTTCCATTGCTATAACAAATCTTGTCTTCTCACAAAGTTAGCCCCATATTGTTTTACTAGTCCTCTCTGTTCTTCTGACCCTACACATTCGACCCATCTTGTGCTCTGCTGTAGCTAAGATAAAGTTCCAGTCCTTAAAAACTGAACATTTACATCCGGAATTTGGATAATAAGATTCTGATGAAATTATTGTTACATCTGCACTGGTGTCTGCCAGACCTTCAATGACCTTATTTATTCATATTTTTAATTTTGGTATTTGTTCATTTATAGAAATTTGCAGAAATACTTGCTTTATAATTTGTCTTGAATTTTTTGTTCTCTTTTCTATAGCTATTCTATTATCTACAGCAGTATGGTTTCTTACAGTAGGCATTATGTTCTTTAATTTACTGTTAAAGTCAGTCTTTGTAAGAAATCCATAAAGGCTTCCTTTGGGCCCTGTATAGCTTTAGTAAATGACTCAATTTTCTTTCCTATTTCTTCAGTTCTGTCTCAAGCATTCAAAGCTGCTGTGTGGTCTAAAACCAGGATGTGGTCATCATATATAGCCTGCCTTTCCATAATATTCTCCTCCAAGAATTTAATCTTGGGAGATTTCCCTACCTGTGGCTTTACTCCATTGTTCAATAATCTTATCCTCTTCTCAGAACCAGACACTCCATTATAATTATGGACCAGACTTTAAAACACCTTTAACCAAATCTATCCAGTTGTTAGGGATAATTGTATTACAAACTGACCATGAGTTTAACTTTTGTTTCACAAAAGGTGAATGCTTGCCATATGAGACTGTTGCTTCCTTGAATCTCCTTAAATCTAACATTGGCACAGGAGTCCAGTTAGCTGTAACAGAGCCTCTGCCATTTGGCAATTCCTTTAAGGTTACTGGATATATTAAGGTTGGTTGTTTGAAAACCTTAGGCTGTTCCTCTCTATTCTTATAATGCAGTGCTGACTCTCCATGAAATTCTTCTGTCTGGATTTGAATGTCTCTGATTTATTTGTTTTTCCTAAGGCCTGTATCTTAGCACTCAGATTAACCAACTATTAATGATAAGACGAAAATGATAAAAGCTGATGTTTACAATTGATATTACATAAGTCCCATCTAAATTAGATATCCTCTCATTTAATCGTTCCATTTTCAAAATGTTTAGCATATTATCATATAGAGACCGAAATTTCTCCATTGTAATGGTTTTTCTCACTTTTTTTTTATTTTGTAAAGCTTAAGTTGTTTTATTTTTTGTATTTTCTTCATGCATAAGCTTTGTAGATTAGATTAGTGATAAAGATGCCCATAGCTAAGGATAACTATGCCATGTTATTATTAAATCTATTTAGTTACTTAATATCAATAAAGAAATGATTTTGCCAAACAAACAAACAAACAAACAAAAAAAACCACCAAAATTATACAGCCGGGCATGGTGATGCATGCCTTCAGTCTCAGCATTTGAGAGGCAGAGGCAAGCAGATAGGTCTTTGAGTTTGAGGCTATCCTGGTCTATGTAGTGGCTTCCAGTATAGCCAGTCTCAAAAACAAAGCAAAATAATAATAATAAATGTGCCTGAAAGTGTAGAGAACTTGGAACCCTCATTCAATGCGGAAAAATTTTGCAGCTACTTTAGAAAGCAATGGGTTTCAAAATCTCATTTCTTGATAAGCCTACAAGACCTACTTAGGTCGTGAAAGTGTAATACGTATGGTACATTTGGTCTCGAAGGTGTTTAACTCCTTTATAGTCTCTTGAATAAGGAGATATGATAAAAGAAACTAAATGATCCTTTATAATACATTGGGGTCAGGTGATAGTGGTGCGTGTCTTTAATCCCAGCACTTGGAATGTAGAGACAGGTAGATCTCTGAGTTCAAGGCCAGCCTGGTTTACAGAGCAAGTTCCAGGTTATTTTTATCTTTGAAGGCCCACCACCCAATAAATACACAGAGACTTTTACTTAGTTATGAATGCCTGACCTTAACTTGGCTTGTTTCTAGCTAGCTTAATTCCATCTACCTTTTGCCTCTGGGCTTTTACCTTTCTCTGTTCTATGTACCTCTCTTTCCTTCTTACTCATGACTGGCTGGGTGGCTGGATGCTTGGGTGGCTGGTGGCTGGCTCCCGGCGTCATCCTTTCCTTTTCTTGTTCCTTTCTCTTCCCTCTCTTTCCTCTTATTTGTTCTCTTTGTCTGCCAGCCCCACCTATTTCTCTCTCCTGCCTAGCTATTGGACATTCAGCTCTTTATTAGACCAGTCAAGTGTTTTAGACAGCCAAAGTAACACAGCTTTACAGAATTAAACAAATGTAACATAAAAGAATGCAACACATTTTTACATCATTAAACAAATACTTTACAACAAAATCCTGCCTTGAAAAACAAAAGCTATGATGGAGCAATGATTTAAATGTTGCCCTGGTTTAGTACTTTAACAAAAACTATCATGAATGTTTTGAAGGTATGTTTGCTATGTAATTCACAATGGGAAATTTGATTCTTTGGGAAAATAAGATTTTAAACTATCTTGAACAAATTTGCACAGTGGACCAGAATGAAAGAACTTTAAATTTGGTAGAAATAAATTTACTGATTAATCGTGGTTGAGGGGAGTTTTACATTTTACATATAATAGCAAAAATGAATGTATTAGGCCTTAAATTTTAATTAGATTTGTTAATTTTATTTTATGTGTATTTTGCCTGTATGTATGTCTGACTACATGTGTGCTTGGTGCCCTTGGAGGTCAGAAGAGGCTATCAGATCCCTTGGAACTGAAATTATGGATGGTTGTGAACCTCCATGTGGGTGCTGGCACTCAAACCTGGTCTTCTGCAAGAGCAACAAGTGCTCTTCACTGCTGAGCCATCTCTTCAGCCCTGGGCATTTTCTTTAAAGCTGTCAACTAAAAACTAGAGGTCTGTAATCTTAGTTATATTAATAGTACAATCTAGGTCAAAGATGGTGATCTAATCAGGTTTTTTTTTTTTTCCTGACCTAGAGCCTTGTATACATTACATACTTTTTCATAGAGTTTGTTTCTTAGGGCCTTGTGTGTAAACTTCTCTGAAATAAACATATTCACTTTTAGATGGCTCTTATGCATAAGAAGTTCAGAGAAGAATCTTGTGAGTGTATGTCCTAGGAAGAATGGGTTGAAGGCAGTGGAGACCTTGAATTTGACCATGTATGTGTTATAGACCAGCAGATGTCTGAAGGGCTTTTCCTATAGAAGAGAGATTAGGTTTTATTTGTCTTACATGCCCATAACGAAGAAGGCGATGCAGTGGATGGGAACTGTATGGAACAGTTTAAGCTGATGGAAAGAGCTGCTGTGGGAATGGCAAAATGTAAGCTGTTGGTGTGGTGAACTCGTGTAGCCCCTTCTAGAGTTGAGTTGTTATTTTTCTTCCCCAAGATATTGTACCTGAATGTACCATATAAGGGTTTCCTAATTTGATTTTTGGCGAGATCTTGTCATCTACTTTATCTGTAGTATAGAAAAATATTGGCCAAAAGTCATTATTTTGATAAGCCCTAATAATGATTAGAAAAGCTCCTCTTTGTGATTTTGTATCAACTATTGTTATTACTTTTAGTTTTTTTATGAAGCAAAGTTGGAGTTTATTAAGAATCAGTTTTAATACATATTTAATTACAGATATTAGGGAAGAGAGACAGTGTTTAAAAAAGGACAGTATTTTAAAAAAGGAGCCAGACATGGTGACTCACACATGTAATCCAGCACTTTGTTTTGGGTTCTTACTTTGTGTTCTTGTTTAAAAATGTGTTTTTATTAGCACATGTAAATTACTTATAATTTATAATGATTTTCATACATGTGTATGATGTATTTTGATCATTATCCCTTTGTCCTCCCACTCCTGCTGTTCTCCCTCCTCTTTCCAACTAGTTCTCCTACTTTCCAGGAGTTTAATTTGGGCTGCTTACAGGAACATGGCTGAGGGGTTATTTATTGCCACATAGGCACCTCCAGTGGCTTTTCCACTAATGAAAACCATTAACTGCCTATATATCCTCAGGGGTGAGTGGGGCTTGTGAGTTTCTCCCTCTTTCAAGTCAGAATGTTTATGAACCCAATCTTCTGCAGGTAATCCCAGCTGCTGAGAATTCAAGAGTGCAGTACTAGGTCCTGCCCAGAAGACAGCATGCCATATCACTTCCACCTCTTCCTCTGGCCCTACCTGCCTATGTGTGCTATTCCCCCAGGGTTAGGAGTGATATAGGTCTATTTAATCTCCACTTACTCTCAGCACTGGCCAGTTGTAAGCGTCTGTGGTAACTGTGGCCCATAATAAAAAGAAACTTCTCTGATCAAAGGTGACAGCAGTATTTATTCATATGAGCACAACATAAATATTTTTAGAAGGCAATTTGGTGGGGACTTTATGTCCATTAAGCAATAAAACAGAAGCACTTTGCCCACTAGAGCCTATGTTTATAGTCCCATACATGAACTTCCTGTGGAGCAGGCCTCTAATCGGAAGTGGTTGGTTACCCCTACAACAGTTCTGTTCTCTCTGTCTCTCTGTCTCTCTGTCTCTCTCTCTCTCATTTGGGACAGTATCCCATAGACTAGGCTAGCCTCAGACTTGTCCTGCAACCAAGGCTGACCTTGAACTCCTTGTCTTCCTGATTCAACCTGGAATTATGGGCATGTGCCACCATGCTTGGCCTTGTTTCTAATATACTTACTAATTTTTGAGAAGATAAAATTTAGGAGCAAATGGTATTTTGAACTTAATGAACTTGTTTTACTTTCCCTTGTAGATTTTCTCAAAGTCTCAGTCATCACGTGAGCAGAGAGAGGGTAAAGTGCTATGGACTGGTTGGTTCTGCTGTGTGTTTGGAGATAGTCTTCTGGAGACTGCTTCCGAAGACTTCACCTGTCTACCCTTGTTCCTTGCAAATGGAGCAGAGGCCAATACATCCTTGATTGGAGGCTGGTTTCAGAAGACTTTTGACTGTTGCTTCAGTCCTTTAGCAATCAGTGCATTTAATCTTTCCTGGATGGCTGCCATGTGGACTGCTTGTGAAATGGACCATTACACGGCTACCACTGAATTTTTTTGGTCTGTGCCCTGTAGCCCTCAAAGCTTGGATATTTCTTATGCAATTCATCCAGAGGATGCAAAAGCTTTATGGGACAGTGTCCACAAAACACCTGGGGAGATTACCCAGGAGGAAGTTGACTTATTTATGGACTGCCTTTATTCACACTTCCACAGGCATTTCAAAATTCACTTATCAGCCACAAGATTGGTTCGTGTCTCGACATCTGTAGCTTCAGCACACACTGATGGGAAAATAAAGGTTAGTTTGAATACATCTAATTAAATTCCTTCTTGTGTTTTCTATATGTGTTGTGATTATATTTTTACATGGGGAAATACACTTCACTGCATAGTACTACCAGTGCCTCTGACCACCTCGAGCCAGTCTGAAAGAGGAAGGGTACTGTGTGCTGTGCACTATAGAGCTGAATAATGTGAACTACCCTCAAGCAACCGAAATTTTCAAAATTGACAAATTTTGAAGTAATTATTAAAGTAACAGCATTTTATGTGTGGGATAAGATTATAGCCAATGACAGAATATCTTCTTTGCCTTTTAGACTTTTTTAAAATTACTATTAGACAGAAAGTCACAGAGAAATGGTTTTTATGTTCTATAGAGAAACAAATAGTTGGCTCCTAAGATGTGTGTGTGTGTGTGTGTGCAAATTTTTATTTCTGCACATGGGTGTTTTGCCTGCATGTATGTCTCTATGCACCATGTGTGTGTGCCATGCCCAGTACCCATAGAGGACAGAAGACAAAACCTTTGGATCCACTGAAACTGGAGTTTGGTCATGAGCTGTCATGTGGGTGCTGGGAATTGAATCTGGGTCCTCTGGAACAGCAGCCAGTGCTCTTAGCCACTCCAGCCCTCTTGAGACATATTTAAATACATGTTTCTGTATACATCCAGGGACTGTTTGCTATTACTTTGTCATTGTTAATGCTCTTAACAGAGTTTAATTCTACCTTTTCTTTCTACTTTTAAATTTTTGATGTGTTTTGTCCTTTTGTGTGTGTATGGTAGGAATTCAACATAGTGTCTTGAACACTAGGCAAGTACTCAGCCACTGAGCTACATACCCTCTTTCTGTCATATTTGTACATACTTATCTGCATGGTATGGCACAGAAAAAGTGAGTTATAGTAATTAGCACTCCTATCTCTATCTTATCCTAATACTTTGAAATAGTTCAGAAATTATAGACTGTAGTCTATAAAACTGTGCTATAAAAGCATTAGAACTAATTCCTCCCGACTGGGTGTATTTTGCTACCTATTATGTAACCCCACCCCATCTCTTAGCTGTTGGTGACCACTATTTTCTTCTATGAGATTTGTTTTGTTTTGAGGAAAGGCTTCATGTAGCCCAGGCTAGCCTTGAACTCATTAGCTGAAGATGATGTTGAATTCCCAATCCTCCTGCCTCCCCTCAAAAGTATTGGTATTATAGGTGTGTACCGCTACTCATTGGGATCAATGTTCTTAGCTTTTACAGATGAATGAAAGCATACCATGTTTGTCTTTCTGTGACTAGTAGATATTAATTCTATATTTTAGAACTACACTGTATATTTAGTCTATGTTTTATTTTAAAACAAGGAAATCAAGGCCAGCATAAATTTAAGTGACACATTCAAGATAGACCAGAAAGAAAAGGATGTATGGGGCTGGCCTTGTGGGTATGGTATGGCTCAGTGGGTGAGGACGTTTACTGCAGACCCAGTAGGATGACCTGAATTTGGTTCCTGGATCCCACATGTTGGAAGGAGAGAACTGACTCCTGAAAGTTAGCTTCTGACTTCCACACGTGCTGTGGCATGCACACACATCCACAAAGGCACAAAACAAATAATTTCTTATAAGAAGGAAAGGAGTCACTATTTGAACTGAGTACTGAATAACTCACATTTTTAAACTAGAGGTCAAAATGAAACAATAAGCTGGAAGTAATTTTGATGAGAAGAACTAAGGATTAAAAACAAAAGGAACTTAATATAGTGGGATATGCTTCTAATTCTAGCACTTGTGGGTAGAGGCAGGAGGATCAATAGTTCAAGGTCATCCTTGGCAACATAGGGAGCGCAAAGCTGGCACTGACTACTTCACACCCTGTCTCAAAAAAACTAAAATGAGGACTGGAGAGATGGCTTAGTGATTAAGAGCATGTACTGTTCTTGCAGAGAACCTGAGAGTCTAGTTCCTAGTACTCATACTGAGTAGATCACAACTACCTGTAACTTAGCTCCAGAAGGACTGGCCTTTTAAAATTGGTTTTAACCAGGCTCGGCTGGTGGAGAACTGCATTGCTCTCCCAGCACCCATACCAGGCAGTTCACAACTACCTGTAAATCCAGCTCTGGGAGAGCAATGCCTCTGGCCTCTTCTGGCACTTGGATTCATGTGCGTATACCTACACATACAACTATGTAATTAAATAAGTAAAATCAACAAAAGCCATGGCAAAAATAAAACAGAAAAAAAAACCCAATATCAAATTGCTTTGTCATAATACTATCTTAATTTTAAAATTTTTTTCTTTTTTTTTCTTTTACAGATTCTGTGTCATAAATACCTTATTGGTGTGTTGGCCTATATGACAGAACTGGCAATTTTTCAAATTGAGTGAATTCTAGTATGGACTCTAAGTGATGCATTATAAACCCTTTCAGTTACTTTCTGAGTTGCTATTCCAAGTGGGACAGTGGAGGAAATGTAGCACCTGTTTTCTCATGGTGCCTTTGGAGTTGCCCGGGTAGATCTGAAACGCAGCAGTGGTCATGGGGTGAGCCATGGTTATGTGCTTGTGTGTCCATATATCACTGTGGTCCTGTTATGTATAAATGCTGTAGAAGATGCTGAATTGTTAACATAAAAGTATCCAGCTTAATCAAATAAACATATATAAAATCTGGTGTTTCTGATTTAGGTTATTTATTCTGTTGATGAGACTTGCCTCTGAGGTTCCTTTTTAAGTTCCTCAATTTTTCATTTCCAGATTTCCCTCAGATTTTTTTTAAAAATTAATTATTATTGATTTTATTTCCACTTTTAGATCTTGAACTATTTTTATCAATTCCCCTCCACTGTTGCGTTTTCATAGATTTCTTTAAGGGATTTATTCATTTCCTCTTTAGAGACCTCTATCATATTCGTAAAGGCTGTTTTAAGATCTTTGTCTTGCAATTCAGCTATGGTGCACTTCTCAGTGCCTACCATGGTAGGGTTGCTCGGCTGTAGTGGAGACATTGTCCTGTTAGTAACATTCTGTTAAACTCATACATCAGTGTCTAACTCATCCAGCATTGGAGAAGCTTCTTCTTTCTGCAACAGATAGGGGTAACAGAGACCTACAACCAGATATTACACAGAGAATGAGCGACCAAAGCTCATATGAACTTGCAGAGACTGAAGCAGGCACACTGGGTCTGCACCAGGTCCTTTGCAAATATATTATGGTTTCCAGTTTAGTGGGTTTTTTTTGTTTGTTTGTTTTGTTTTGTTTTGTTTTGTTTTTTCCCCCCGAGACAGGGTTTTTCTGTGTAACCCTGGCTGTCCTGGAACTCCCTCTGTAGATCAGGCTGGCCTCAAACTCAGAGACCCATTTGCCTGTGCCTCCTGAGTCTTGTAACTAAAAGCATGTGACACCACCAACTGGGTAGTTTAGTGTTTTATTGGATTCTGAGTGTGTGACTGAGTCTGTTTCTGTGCCTTCTCTTGGCACTGTTCTCCTTCAGTTTGCTCCTTTTGTCCGATTCCAATGTGTTTGTTTTTGCTTTATTATTATCCTTAGAAGCCTGTTTGCTTCGTGTGTTTGTGTGTGTGTTTGTGTGTGTATTTTCCCCAGATGGTTGTGAGCCATGATTTGGTTGCTGGGAGCTGAACCTGGGTCTACAAGAACAACAAGAACTCTAAAAGCACTGAGCCATCTCTCCAGCTCCCTTGTGTGTTTTCTAATGAGAGCGGTACATAAAGAAAGTGGATTGGGACGAGAGGGGAGGTAGGGAGAAACTGGGTAGGGAAACCATAATCAGAATTGATTATATAAAGGAAAAAGATGTTTTCAATAAAAAATTTTAATCTCTTTAAGAGCATCTTAGATTTGTGTTAACATTCTTCGTTCCTTCCTCCTCATCCTCTTCTTTTCTTCTTTCGGAGACAGGGTCTCATAACCTAATCTGGATATGGAGTTAGGGTGGACCCCAGCCCTGGAGTGCAAAGATTACAGGAGGTGTGAGTCAATGTTTATATGGAACTGGGCCTCAAATTCTTGGTCTGGTACACACTAGGCAAACACTATCATGTGAGCTACACCCCCAGCCAGAAGTTTTATCTTCTAGACATATTTCTAATGTCATTTTGCTGTAGAGAACTTGCCATCAAAACCTTCTGAAAAATGAAGATAATAAATGGTCTTGAGCCACCAATATATTTTTGTTTTTAATTCTATTGCAGTATTGAATTAAATATATACCTGAAAAATCATTCAGTGTATATTAATGGCATGTTTCAATTAGTGCCTCGGTAGTGTTAGCCTTTGCTTCAGCACACAAGACACAAACTTTCAGAATCATATCTAGGACAGCGGGAACATCACCCCTGAGCTCCATTAGCAGGAAGAAATAATCATGCTTAACCTCATATTTAGACCAGTTCTCAGTAAAAACTAATAGATCAAATACATTTTAATTAAGTCTTCTATTGTATAGGTCATAACTGAGGTGAAGCAACCTAAGAAACTTGCCTGTGTTACATCTCAATGTCATTTTACTTTATGAGCATAAGATTTTGTGTTACATTTGAAGCTTTTTAAAAAATATTTTTTATGTATTTTATGTCTCAATAAATAACAAACAAAACCCCCCAAACAAACAAAACTTGTGTCTGTTGGTGGTAGGGAATATTTGGTCACAGTTTGGTGCTGCCACCTTCATTAGTGTTAAGGCACCAGCAGTTTGCCTACCCATCACAGTGAACAGCCAAACATGTAGTTTTACTAAGAAAATTGCTTTGGTTCATGGATGCTTTGAAAGAATACTGGGGCCTGAAGCTGATACTCTGAGAATCATTTATCTATTATCTTAATCAAACTAATTTTGAATGTGAGAGCTTTCTGGAGCTAGGGACTGTTCCGGCTTAGTGAACCCCAAACTTCCACTCATCCAAATCACCTTGGGCATGTGTCCTCTTCCTATAAATTCAGACTTATAGAAACATCCTTTTGTTTTAAAATAGACCTTTGAGAGACATTTATGATTCAAACAGTATCAGTTTTATTGTACTTATTGTAGGCTATGTTTCAGATAACTCAGGTGGTACTGTGGAATGAAAACAGGCAGAATGGAGCTTTGGGAAAATATGTACTACCAGTCCCATCATTAAATATACAAGCAGACTTCCTTGGTATTCAGATTTAGGCAAGTGTATTAAATGGGTTTGGACTAGAGGATTAGTCCTTTCAGTCAAAATTGTAGGCCTCTTATATATTTTCTTACTTAAGGAAATATGTTTATAGATTGGTTAATATAATATAAAATACATGAGAAGTCTTGAATGTCTTTCAAAATGAAGCACTTGAAACTATATAAAACTAATGTAAGATGCAAAAAATTAAAAAAGTCCATATAAACAGTAAAGTTAGAAGTACCAAATAGCAGTCATTAGGACTAGAGAGATAGCTCAGAAGATAAAGACACTTTCTGCCAAGCCTGATGAACTGAGTTTGATTCCTGGAATCCATAGGACGGAAGGAGAGGAATGATTCCTGCAAATTGTCCTTTGGTGCTGGGGCATGCTCCACCTCACCCCTTACACACACACACACACACACACACACACACACACACACACACACAGTAAAAAAGTTAAAAATTTTCAAACATTTTATGGTAAATACCTTTATTTTAAAAAGTTATACATGCTAGAAAAAAGCATAAATGATACATGTAAACAATTGTTTACCAAATACTTATTTTTTCCTTGAAAAAGGTGCAAATGATGTTTAAATGTAAACACAAAAGTTGCCAAACATTTTGTTGGAGGGGAGAGGAAGAAGGTCAAGATTATTCCTTTTGGTTGTGGCTAAGTCTCATTCAAAGGTTTTCCTGCAAAATACACTGAAAAAAAAAATCAGTCTATGACTACAATGGGGGAAGACTGTAGGCACTAAAATTTTCATTTATTTCCTTAAAAATGTTAACCTTTCATCAGAAAGTGCAACTTAAGAGACACAGTAACGGTGGCCTTATAGGATGAAAGACTGTGAGATATTAGCATGAAGACCCCAGATTGGATTGGCTGCTTCGGCTGGTCTGACATCCCTTCACTTGTACTGCTCACATGAACTGGAAACAGCTTCCATTTAGAGCGTGTTACTGAAGGTCAGCTCAGATGCACCAGCCGCAACAGCCAGCGTAAACTGAAAAATAGAATCCATTGCTGAAGAGAGGTCACTTCTCCTTGGTGGCCCCTAGTGACAATGAGGAGATAGGAAAGAAAGTTGCAGGGGGTAACATCTGTGAACAAAAACTCTTACAGAGTTGCACTTGATTTTACCGGAGTTCTCAAGAAAACGGAGGAGACTCACACTGTTTTTAGAAGAGGCACTGAGCAGAGACCTAGGTATATGTGGCAGGAACTGTGAAAATATTACAGGAAGGAAAGGGAAATGGAGTAGAAAGCAAGTTCAGTTAGAGATGTAAACGTTATCTGGTGAATTAAAACTGTAGCTTGTCCTGCTTTTACGGATTCAATATTCCTTCTGAAGTGTCCTATTTAGCGAGATGTTTTCTTGTTATTTTTTCTTTTACACTTAAAAAAAATTTATTTTGAATTACTCATACTTGTTGGGTATTTGTGTGTTTGTGTGTACTGAATGCACAGGAATGCAGGTACTTGCAGAGGCCAGAACAGAGTTCTGGATCCCCTAGCTTAGCGGTTCTCAACCTGTGGGTCATGACCCCTGTATGTGTGTGTGTGTGGGCAGGAGGTTGAATGACCTTTTCACAGGGGTTGCGTATCAGATATCCTGCATATCAGATATTTACACTACAATTTATAACAGTAGCAAAAATTACAGTTATGAAGTAGCAAATGAAAATAATTTTATGCTTGGGGGTCACCACAACATGAGGAACTAATTGTATTAAAGTATTGCAGCATTAGGGAGGTTGAGAACCACTGACCTAGCTGGAGTTACATACAGTTGTAAGCTGCCAGATGTGGGTGCTGCGAACTGAACTTGGGTCCTCTGCAAAAGCAGCACACAACTCTCACTGGACCGTTTCCAGTCCCCTTTACATTTCGGAGTGCTCTAATATTTAGTGCAAGAATAGTAACTAGCGAGTATACTTTGCATATCTGTCTTTATCACTGGCAATCTTTGTAGATGGATAGTATCTAACTGGAGTAACCATAGCCCTTCTGCCCTTATCAGTATTTTCAAAAAAGAAACCAAACCTAGAAAGCAAAGTAAATTTTGCAGCTTGGAATTTTTTTTTCTCCTTTTTGCCCCCTCTGATATGAAAGATAAGTTAAAAAAAAACAAAAAACCCCCCAAAACCCAAAACAACCCAACCAACAAAACAAAAATAGAAATCACCATCAAAACTCCATGATAAATTAAAGCCCAAAATAAATGCTCTCTGCAGAGAGCAGAAAGGTGTTGTGCAAAGGTGGCATCTGCAGGTGAGTTCTGTCGTTAGACTTGTAGTTCTGTATGTTGAGGCACCGGCAAAGAATAACATTTGTTCTAATGTTTTCTCGAGCTGTACAAAGCTTCAAAGCCAAGGCTCTTCCAAATATAAAGGAGCGTATACAAGACTTTTTTCCTGTGTTCACCATATATGGGATTCACAGTGTGTCATTTTAATAACTCCTACGCCACCTCCTAGCCGACGATAATTCATCCCTCCATATAACCTGCAAAGATAGAAACGAAAGCATAGTTTCTAACTGGAAAAAGCACTGTGCCTTCTCAACGAAGACGTCACAGTATTTTCAGCTTTATGTAACTCTCCAAAGATTAGAAGCAAACTGATCACAGTCAAGTAGCAGAATTCAGACCAGAGCTGAAAAGCTCTCTGTGGAATGAGGCTGTCTGCTCACCTTTTTGTACTAGAGCTTTACACACTGACCGGCTTTAACACACATAACCTTATTTCTGCACTTTTGTGTCTAATTTTATGCCTGATATTTATTTTCCCAGATACATTTTCTCTTTGCCTAAAACTTTCTCAATTATTAATTAATGTTTTATTTTCTGAGATAGGCTCTTGCTAGGATCTTCCTAGACCTACAGCTGTGGAGGTGCTGGTATTATAGGTATGTATCACTGTACCAGCCTCAATTACTTTTATTTTTTATTTCATTTTATTATTATTATTATTTTTCAGCTGTTTTTACTCCAGTCTGGTTGCTTCAAACCCATGGCAATCCTCCTGCCTCAGCTTCCAGAGGGTTGGGATTATAGGTATGAGCTACCAAGACAAGCTGCTCTGTTTCTCCCTTCCTTTCCCCTCCCTCCCTCCTTCCATTTCTTCTTGTGTATCTGTATACACTGTGCAAAGGTGCACACATGTCTGGAGACCAGAGGTCACCTTTGAGACTGGGTCTCTCAGTGGCCTGGCACCTAAATAGTAGGCGTGGCTGACTGGTCAGGGAGCCCAGGGGTCTGCCTTGTCTCTGCCTCCCCTGCTCTGCTATGTGTCTGACTTCTTATGTGGGGTCTGTGGATGAAATCAGGGCCACACACTTGCACAGTAAGCATTTTACCAACGGTCCTTTCTTTCCAGTCCATCAGTTCTGTGTTTATTCCTTATCTATGTAGCATCATAGCAGCATTTAGTTTGTGATTTGTGAACAAGATCGTCTTCAAAGCTGAAGACTTTCAGGGCAAAAAAAACTTACCTCCTCATTCAGGAATGAGAAAATTGATTTAGGATGTGTACTAGGTATGATAACATATACCTGTAATCACTGACCATGGAAGCATAAGGCAGGATGATTATCTGAGCTTAAGGTTAACCTTGGCCTACATAGTTCTAGGCCAACCTGGACTATAGAGGGATATTTTTCATACCTATAATCCTAGCACTCGGGAGACTAAGGTAGGAGGGCTGCTGTGGGTTCAAGGGCAGCCTGGGCTGCAGAGTGTGCTCCAGGTTAGCTTGGGCTATAGTGAGACCTTGCTTCAAAAAGCCCCAAATAAAAACAAAATAAAAGAGTTTGGGCTGGGCATGGTAACGCACACCTTTAAGCTCAGCACTCAGGAGGTAGAGGCGGGCGGATCTCAGAGTTTGAGGTCAGCTTGATCTATTATAGGAAGTTCCAGGACAGTAAGGCTACAGGAGAGACTCTGTCTCAAAAATGAAACAAAACAAACAAACAAAAAACTCAAACCAACAAAAAAGTTTGAGATACTTTTTGAAACTACAGAGATTTAAGTATCAACTTCTCTGTAGTTTATTTTTAAGAATTTCATGTGTATTATTCACCATACACCAGTAACTCAAGTGATGGCTGCTGATAAAAGTTTATACATAAATCACAGCAACTATGAGACAGGAATAAATGTAGCTATTTTTTAAACTGTGCTCTACTCTGAATTCCCACAGAAAACTGTATAAAGGAAAGAACATTCCTTAAACGGCAGGCTTTTCTTTGTGTAAACCTGCTCTTCTCTGTCCTTACCATTTCAGTGGTGCTTCCCGGGCCACCCTTTACAGAAACATTCCTCCCTGCCATCTTAGCCCCCTTCTGAGCTTGTTAATCACACAGCACCTCCACCTAGCATGATATGACACTACAAAGCCAGAGCTGGGACTGCAAGGAATCTGTCTCCTTCACTTTTGTTTCCTCTGGGATCAGAATATTCAGTAAATCTAATGAACTGGTCATGAAAAATGTAATGTCTGAGCAAAAAGTACCATTAATTAAGTTGTTATTAATCTGAGCTCAGTAATGTGACTACTCAACCACAGAGAATCTCAAGAAAGCGCTCTCAGTCTCTGTAAAAGGAACTGGAGGGGGTGCTTGCTCAGCATCTGCCTCTGGATTCTGAGATGGGGAGAGCGCTAGAGGGTGAGGTCGGGCTCTCATCCAGCTAGGCATGTACTCTACCACTGTGCCCACCCCTCGGCCTGAGGAGTTAAAAGAAACATAAAATCTACAAAATGAAGTTCAATATAGCTAAACTCTCAGAAATAAGGTATAGCTTCCTACCTAAAAGTGAAAATTAAAACAGGCTGGATTTCACAACAGAAGACTCTATAGCAATACACTTTTAAAAGCTAAAGAAGGAATAGGCTTTAAAATATTTTTTGAAAGTAACTACACTTTTGCCTCCAGAAATAAGGCTTCTCAAAGAGAAGAACCTGTACAGACAAACTGAGAACTGAAGGCCCAGGCTCTGAGTCTACTAATGTCACTAGCTTATTTAAGTAGACCTTTTATTTTCATGGTGTTCTGGTTTCGCCAATAGGATGTGATGAGGATAGAAATGATATTCATTGTTTTCCTCACCTCTACTTATATAAAATGAGATGATTATTAGAAGAATTTTGGAGTTTTTTATCAGACACTTTAGAACAGCAAGTTAAAATGCATCATCATATCTGGGTTAACTCAGCTCCCTTCAGGAAACCACATGAGGACTTCAGGGCCCTGGCCATCCCAGTTTTGGTGGTCATGATCCTTCTCAAGCTCATGATTTTAAGTCAGCAATGAAAAGACTTGCAACAGTCTAAAGGTTACCTCCAAGTATTGGCATCTGGGTCGAAAACTTCAATGGTCTTCAAGTACGTTGTGCCATCAAAACCTCCCACTGCCATGAGCTGCCCGTTGACCACCGCCAGACCAACCTGGAAGGGTAGAGCACAGTGGTGTTGAGACAACCACTGGGGAATTGTAGACTTTCTCAAACCTCTTTTGGCTTCATTTTATAGTTTACATGAATTCAGAAAGAAAAAGTAGCAGTAATCTATGACATTATGGGACCTGTTAAATTCTGTATCATACACAAGAACAGAGCACATATTTGTAAAATTTAGAAAGCCATTCACTAAGTGTGAGCAAGAACCTCCAAACTACGTCTGAGCCTGCTTTGCTTACTCGAATCCACTTTCTAACAACATGTCACTCCCCTCTGCCCAGTGACAGATGTAAGGTCCATAGTGTTACTCAGGCCTGCCAGAAATATGTTAGAGGCACCATGTTTGGCCTCAGCTCCTACATTTCCCTCCCCTAATGGACTCGATGCTCTAGTCATTCTACTGTTAGTCTCTGAGATAGCGTGCAGGTGTTAACAATGCATGTGAATTAAGCCCATTCTCCCATGTCCTTCTGTCACATACACTACGACCATAGCACATCTTTACTGCAGGTACTGCAAACACCTTGGTTTCCTTCACCAGACTAAGAGCTCTATAAGGAGAATTTTGTAGACATTTCTGCCTTCCAAATGACTGGAAATAAAATCAACATGAAGCAGTCAGAATAACAGGAATATAACTAAAAGTCTGTTAAGTTTCCAGTAATAAATGGCCACAGATATGTGAGTCTTTCACTTGATGCTGCTTTTCAGTGAGGCCCCTTGATTTTTGCAAACCAGATTATGGAGTCCTTAGGAACTGTTTGCTTCTCTTTCCTTTTGAGTATGTGTCCTCCACTGAGGGACTCCTGCCATGATTAATGGTTAATGGGTTAGGTTTTGCTGAGACAAACAATCCCAGAAGGGAAGATTTTATATTCTACTTTGGATATCTTTTAGTGACAGGTCATTTATTCATGGTTGAGATCATGACAACACTCAGCAGATCTGGCCTTCACTGTCGATGGGACAGACTCAAACCAGTTTTGGAAGATGCATAGAAGGGCCAGATGTTTTACCTAAATATTTGTATTAGTATGCAAAGTCTACTAAGAAAAGTAGCTAGAAATATTATGTAGGAATAGCTAGTGCTAATATACAGAACTTAAATAGGGAGGTAGACAATATAGGGAAGATACTTTCTGGAGAAGTAGCTGATAGAAGATAAATAATAAAAAATAACTATATAATTAAATATATGAATGGATAGAAAATATCTAGCTAGATATTTAATGGATAATAAATTATTATCCAATAATAAATAATTATATCCAATAATAAATATCTAATGGAGTTAGAAGCGATCAACAGAAACATAAGCTGTTTTGGTTTGGGGTTCCCCCCTCACTTTGTCTAAAAGCATCTTGACAGCTGAGACAACTGAAAATAAAGCACGTTGGAGACCAGCACTTCACCTCCTCAGTGCCCTAGTGTAGCTCACACAGCCTTCCATCTGGACACCCCTCCGTGCTTGTTTACAAAGCACTGGGCAGCTGGCACTTACTCCACTCCTGCGGGATGTCATGGCCACCACGGGAGACCACTGGTTAGTTCTGGGGTTGTATCTCTCAGCACTGCTAAGCTCTGTAGTGTCGTCTCTCCCTCCTACAGCATAGATCATGTCCTGGTACACTGCACAGCCTAGGTGTTTCCTTCGGGTCCCCATAGGGGCTATGGTGTGCCATCTGTTTTCCTGAGGATTGTAGCGCTCCACTGCAGGGAAAAGAAAAGACCAGTAAGTGACCACTCACCCGCTCTCTTCATAGTCACCAAATGGGATGGCATTTTTTTTCAGTATAGAATATGATAGGAACCAGTTTCCTGCAGTCAACTTCCGAGGAAAGGACATGTGTTAAATTCTAGTTTGGGCTACATAACTAATTCTGTGCGCTTATTCTCTTCCAATGGGGTGGAACTAGATTATGTTTTATAAGATCAGTTTAGCACTAAGTTTTATTGTAATAATTGAATAGTGTTTATATTCTTGTACTCCTCAGAGTATTTATCTAATTACTTATTTATGGAGCCTTGCTCTGTGGTGCTGGCCTAGAACTCATTATATAGCTCAGGCTAGCCTCAAACTCATGATTCTCCTGTTCTTGCCTCCCAAGTGTTGGGATTACAGGCATGCTCTCCCATGCTAGTGTCTCTTAAGCCCCTGAAGAGGCATAACAATGAATCTCATGGGTGTGCCACTGACACATCCTTAGATGAAAATACCTACTATGTTTAGACAGAAAAGGCAAAGAAGCTTGTAGTTCTAAGGTTTTATTTATTCTTATATTAAAAGAATTATTTTTTATTAAGGGTAGGTTGTAATTATGGGAAGAAGAGAAGTCATTATTTGGAAAGTAGATTTTTTTTTGATTGTAGCCTACATCTTATTTATCCATTTATTTATTTAATGTGTAAGTGTTTTGCCTTCATGTATGTATGCACACCCTGTGCATACCTGGTGTCCTCAACAGATCCCCTGGAACTGATGTTACTGGTCATCAGCCACCATGTGGGAACTGGGAACTGAACCCAGGTCCTCTGCAAAAACAAGTGCTATTAACCATTAACCCCTGATCTATCTCTGCAGTCTCAGATTTTTTTTTTAAAATTCAGTATAAGTTTCTAGCAGCTTATAAAGTATATAGAGAAAGAAAACTTTGGGAAACATACTAGAAGTCATGAATTGCATTTCTCTAGAGAGAAAAACATAACATTTTCTTAAATATCAAGTACATTCATGAATATATAAGCAGAACAAATTAGACTCAGTGGGTTATTAAAAAAAGAAAAGGGATAAAAGGGAGGGAATGGATCTGGGAGGAGTAGGAAGGTGAACATAATAAAAATATATTGTATGAAATTCTCAAAGAATTAATAAAGATGTCATAGTGAAAATTATAAAATAACTTGAGCTTTTTATATTTTGTATAAAGGATGTCTTAGGGTTTCTATTGTTGCAAAGAAACACCATGACCAAAGAACAAGCTGGGGAGGAAAGGATTTATTGGTTTATACTTCCAGATCATAGTCCATTACTGGAGGAAGTCAGAATAGGAACTCAAGCAGGGCTGAATTCTGGAGGCAGAAGCTGATGCAGAGGCCATAGAGGAAAGTTACTTACAGGCTTGTTTCCTCTGGCTTATTCAGCCTGCTTTCGTATAGAACCCAGGACCAGTAGCCCAGGGATGACACCCCCCACCATGGGCTGGACCCTTCCCCAATGATCACTAATTGAGAAAATGCCTTACAGCTGGATCACATGGAGGCATTTCCTTATCAGAGACTCCTTCCTCTTGGATGGCTCTAGGTCTTGCCAAGTTGGCACAGAAAGCCTGCCAGTGCAGAGGGATTCTCCCCAGAAAAACATGCTGCTTTCGGAACTTAGACTGCCTTATGGGGAACTAACCTGTGTTGAGTGGAGACGTTCCATCAGAGCCACCTACAGCATATAAGAACCCTCCCAACACAGCCACAGCAACCCCTAGTCTTCTAGTACTCATAGAAGCCACCCGAGTCCACTTGTTCTCCTTTGGATCATACCTGCAGGGAGGAAAAACATTCCTGTTGGCCCAAGTAGTTTCCACAGGCCTGAAATCACAAGAGATATAACGGATACAGAGATTTATCATAGATTAAAAAAAAATGTATGGGCACACACACACCTACTATTCAGTTTTTTTAAAAGCCATATTTTGTTATTTGTGACAATAAGAACATGGGGGACATTTTGTTAAGTAAAATAAATCAGACACATGAAGAAAAATACCATATGATCTTGAAGATAGAATATAAAATTAATCTCATTTGTAGAAGCAAAGAATAGAATGGACTCCTCTTGCAATGAGGGGTTGGCAGGATCAGAGAGATGCTGGTCAAAGACTAAGTTAAAGAAATCTAAAGTACAATAGGTGAGTAGTTACTGTTGAAACTGTTGAGTGTAGATTTTAACTGTTTTCACCAAAACCCCCAAAGTATGTAAGGTAATAAATCAGTTAATTAGTTTGACTTATCCTTTCTACATGGTTTAAATGTTTAAACATATCATGTTTACCACAAATATATTTTTAATCAATTAAAGAACAGATGGTGGTGGTGGGAGCTACAAAATGGTAGGAGAGAACCAATCTCTCAAAGTCATCTTCACACACACACACACACACACACACACACACACACACACACACGTTGTCTCTCTCCTTCATAGTAGGCTATTTAGGGATATATAGAAAAGCAAAAGGACTTTGTATATCCATTAAAAAAATTGAAAATTATTTTGATTTAAAATAAATCACCTCTCAACAATATTGAGGCAAGAGACACCATCCTGTCCACCCACAGCATAGAGAAAACCTCCAAGTACTGCCACACCAACGCTTGTCCTGCAGGTGCTTGTAGGGGCCACATCACTGCTCCACTGGTTTGTTTTGGGGTCATATCTGCAAAGAACACATTGAGAGCTTGTATTACACGCTAGAGCTTAGCTGTGTTTATAGTATTTTGTTGTGGAATAATCTTTTTGTATACTGTGAAGATGTGTCCCTGCCAAGGTGCTTTCTGATTGGTTTAATAAAGAGCTAAATGTCCAGTAGGTAAGCAGTAAGAGGTTAGGTGTGACTTCTAGACAGAGAGAGAGAGAGAGAGAGAGAGAGAGAGAGAGAGAGAGAGAGAAGAGGAGACAAATCTAGGCATGAGAGACACCAGAGGACACAGAAAAGAAACAGGAAGTGTAATATGGAAGAGAGAAAACGTTACAAGGCAAAACACAGATGAATAGAAATGGGTTAATTTAAGTTAAAAGAGCTAACGGAACAAGCCTAAGCCATAGGCCAAGCTTTCATAATTAATAATAAGTCTCCATGTCATTTTTTGTGAGCTGATGGCCCAAATAAAAATTCATTTCAGTATTTGGAGCATATAAGCATATATTTCTATTTAAGGGCTGTTCTTTCCTTCAAACAGGCTGACTAATAATCAAGCATATGAAAACTGAACTGAGCAGTGCTGGGGATTGAACTGGGGGCCTACATGTTAGCAACTGTGCTGCTATAGACCTATACCCCAACCTAATTAACTTTTAAAAATTTATTTTAACATTTATTTTGAATATGTTTTTCTTTAAAATATCAGGATGCTACAGAATTCCATTTCAATTCTAGTCTCTTTCCATTTGGATTTGGCATACATCCCTTAAGCCACTGTAATAAAATATATTATCTACTTATGCATTAATTTAAATGCAGAAATGTTTATTTATATAATATTAAACACTGTAAAATTTTCTCCTTTGATGTATTTTTGAGATTTTTTTGTTAATATAATTCTAGATTTTTCCTTTGAACTCTTTTGTTATATTGTAATGTGAGATGCACTGTTTAACCCAATTTTTTAAAAAAATGACTTTTTTATTTATATGTATGTGTGTGTATCTGTATGTATGTGCTCATGAGTGTAGTACCCACAGAAGCTCAAAGAGGGTGGTGGAGCTCCTGAAGCTGGAGCTAGAGACGGTTGTGAACTGCCCAACTTGGTGCATGAAACTGAATTCAGTTCCTCTGTAAAGGTAACAGCGTTCTTAACCACTGAGCCATCTTTCCAGTCCCTTAATCTGATTCTTATTGCTATATTCTTATGTTGTTTCTGATACTCTGATGATTAAAATCAGGAACTACAAGGCTGAGCACATAGCTCAACAGTAGAGTGCTTATCTAGCATGTACAAGACTCTTAACCACTTAAAAAAAAACAACAAAAGAATACTAAGTTGCTCCTTGTGTAGCTATATCCATTTTTCCTTTTTAAGTTTTCATTATTTTTTCTTTCTCTCTCATTTTTTTCTTTCTATTTTGCCAGATTTTTTTGCTCTTTATAACTTCTTGATTTAAAAACATGGTTTGCTTTCTCTCTCTGACACAGGGTATCACTATGTATCTCAGACTGGCCTTGAACTTGTGATCTCTCCTGCTTTGGCTCCCAAGTGCTGGGATTACACGTGTGTGCCACCTATTGCTTTCACTTTTCTTACTTTCAAAAGCATGTAGTGCCCGGCGATGGTTTGCGCACGCCTTTAATCCCAGCACTGGGGAGGCAGGGGCAGGTGGATTTCTTTGAGTTCGAGGGCAGTCTGGTCTACAAGAGCCAGTTCCAGGACAGTGGGCTCCAAAGTTACAGACAAACTCTGTCCCGAGAAGCCAAAAAAAAAAAACAAAAAACAAAAAAACATGTAGCATATCATTCATGTTTGCCTCTGTGTACTACCTTAGTTACATTTTATACATTTGGCATATATTAATTTCATTGTTAAGCTATAAATATTTAGTCATTTGCACTTTGATTTATTTAGCCCACTGATTCATTTCTAAGTGTCATTCTAGCTGTCATCTCCCCCCAACCCCCCCACCCCCAGTTTGTAGAGCCAAGCCTCTGGGTTTTGTTTTTTTAGCTATGCCATATCTAGAACCAATATCCAGAACTGGTTACACTAGGTTTTATAGATATGCTATGGAACTATGACAAAATCATTATAGGTCAACATTGCTTAATGAAAGAGAGTATGTGGTAATAAGAAACTTAAAAAAAAAAAAACACTCACTGTAGAGTTCCAATGTGCCAGGTACCTCAACAATTGACTAATACAACATGTAAAAGCATACTTAAAATATTCATGAAAGAGCAGAGAAATGAGTAGCTCATCTGTAGTCAAAGAAGGTTTTATGCAGGAAGTAACATTTCAAATCTCATAAGCCTTAAAGTGTCAAAGATATTTCAGGGGAGAAGAACAGCATGCATATATGCAGGGATTGAAGAAGGCAAGATAATGGCATGTCCAAAGAGTTGTAGCAATTTGTTGTATCTGCAGTTGCAAGCTTAGAAAATGGTGTACAACGGGGAAGAGATCAGAAAGATTGGTAGAGATCAGATCACAAAGGTCTTGTGTGTCATTCTAAGGAGTCTTGACTGTTAATTGGTCTCACAGATGTAAGACTAAAATAGTAAGTCACATCTGTTTCTTAATTAACATCTCAAACAAAATCATTGGGACAATAGGGACTTTTTTCAAACTACCCTTACCTTTCAACACTATTGAGATAGGAGGATCCATCATGGCCGCCTACTGCATACAACAGGTCATCAAGAACACTGACTCCAACTCCACATCGCCTTTTACTCATGGAAGCTACCATTCGCCACTCATTGGTCTGTGGGTCATACCGTTCAACACTGGAAATGGCGTCTCCACTGCACCAACCACCAACTAGGGAGGGACAGAAATTGTTAAGAGAACACCTGTTCTAAGGCAGACTGCTAGCCTCTCTGTGACCTAATGCTCTGACTCTCCAAGTACATGGCAGAAGCAGGTCAAGTTATAGTCACCAACAGTCACTGGACTGTAACCTTGATCTTGGATTTCAGTCTCCAGAACTGCAAGAAAATGCATTTCTTTGGTCTGAACTACTAAGTCTATGCTATTTTGTTATGGCAGCCTGGTTAGACTAGTATAGTGAATAAGAGTTAAAATAACTGCCAAGCCAAGTTCCATTATCCTCTTCTAAATGACCATGGGGGTGGGGCTGTGGTAATGTTAGATATACTAAATTTGTTTTTCTTTCAAATCATCCCCATTTCAACATAAAATAAGAGTGATTCTGAAACATAAAAAAATAAGTTTATTTTATGCTCAAAACACTTTGGGAATTACTAGTTTTTAAAGGATGTCAAATAAATTCCTGAGCTACATTAAGAACAGAATAATATTAACTATCTTCTAGACAGGCCAAAAGTTCACTTTCTTTATTGCAAATCTCAATATGATATAATTTTACTTTACTGTTGTTTCACACAAATTAGAAGAGTCACCTAGTACTAAACCACAGCAAGTCTTGTATATAGTAATTTGCTTAAATGTGAACTGTGTAATGGGGCATATATAAGAAATTTCAGTATCAGAGAAAATATCCTAAACTCTAAAATGGCCCTAGGCTGGAAATGTGAGGGCTCATAATCTTTGAGATCAACCAAATAGCCTAATCATTAAATCTCTGGTACAACTAAAGAGTAGAAAGCTTAAAACCAGCTTTATATTGGACTGATGGTTTCATATCAAATTAATGCTACCTGGTAGTGGTATTCTTCATTATCAAAAGGGAAGAAATGGACCCTTTAGGAACAAAACTTCAATCTTGCCTGTTGACTTAGAGAAGTCCGAGACCATGGTGGTTTTGTGTGCACTGTGATCCCCATGTCAACCATGGATGACATAATTAGATATTAGAGACTTAACTGTGGAGCTCCAAAAGTCCTATGTTGAAGTCAGAGTTCCACTGTGACTGGAGACTGCCTTTAAAGAGGTAATTAAAGTGAAATGAAGTAAAAACGGTGGACCATTATAGTGGGACCAATGAGAAGAAAAGATCTCAGAGACTTGTCTCACCCGTCACCGCACACACAGAGAAAAGGCTGTGTGAGGCCAAAGGCACTCTGCATGTGGAGGAGGGAGGTCTCAGTCAGCAGCAGGCAACACTGCTGGGACCTTGGCTTTGGACCTCAGGTTTTTTTTCTATGTAGCCCTGCCTATGCTGGAACTCCTCTGTCACCCTGTAGACCAGATTGGCCTCTAACTCAGAGATTCATCTGCCTCTGTCTCCCAAGTGCTAGGATTAAAGGCATGTTCCATCAAACCCAGTTGAAAAGACAGATTTTGAAGAATAGTATTATTGACTTACTTTGTGTATCTTATGATCGCAGGTATCACAACTATGTAAATGATTATTCAAACACACATGAGAATATTTTGCTTAATCACTGTATATTAAAAGTTAAGCTTGTACTGGACATGGTGGTATATAGACAGAAGATGATGTGGGAGGACCTATACCATATAGAAAGTTCCAGGACAGCTTGGGCCTCACAGTGAGATTTAACTTAAAGAAAACAAAAAAACTAAACAAACAAATAAATAAAGATTGACACCTGCAAAGAGCACTTCTCCACATCGAATGGGTTTCCGTGGCCTTGTCCTTGGTCCTTGCATTAGTGGTCGTTCTTGAGGCAATAGGAGGTAGTTTTTAGCTTCATCTACCAAGTCTCTGTAGAAAAAAAACTTTGCATTTATTCCAAATGGCTAAATCAGGTTGCAAGTTAAGTCCTTATATGATGTAAGAAAATATGTTAGCAAAAGGGAACAAGCACAAATTAAACTAAACCCTGTTGCCTGTCAATATAAAATTGGCACAGACATGAACCATGATGAAAGTCATACTAGGATTTCTGAGTTGATGGGCATTTCTAGCATAACTTCATACTTGAGGCAAATTCTAACCTAAAGCTCAACAATCAAAGAACAGAGAACATCTTACCCCTTCCCCTAAAAAACCAACCTGATCACCAGCTTGCTTAGATTCTACAAAGTGTCTGGAAAGGACAACAGTGAGAGCAGTAGGTATCTGCTAAGAGTGGTTTCATACAACTAGTCTACTGACATAAACAAAACATTTCCCAACATTCCTTTAAGAGCACAGCCTAGAGATTAACATAGTACAATATTCTGTATATGAATATTTTAGGAGATTCAGTAAATTTTTAGGAGATTTACATAAATTCTACCACACTGTTATACTTCAACTCCAAATGTACCCTGAACTACTGTGTTTTAATTTCTCATTATTTACACTACAACGAGTAATTCATACATGATTGGTGCTATGTATTCTAAATACATAAAATGTATTTTACTCCTCTTAATATATTTATCCTAGTAACAAAATAAACAGAAAACAAAACAAAAATTAAAAGGAAGTCAAACCAAAGATTAGGAGTTTTTTCTGGTTCCTCAAACTTGAAAGATTGACTCAGTCAGCTTTTACTACAGATAAAGGTTCTAAAAAGACTGCAGCACAGACAACACTTAGCATCCAACAAAGAATTAACAGCAGCAATATGGCGACCTTCTAGTTTCTGCTTTAAGCTCTTAATATATGTACTCATATAATTAATAGTCATGTGGAACAGGTACTTATTCTCTCGCTCTTTACAGATGAAGGAGCTATAGCACAGAGTAAGCACTGCCCAGTGCCAAGGCTAGGGTACCAGGCGTCAACTTCAAAAGTACTTTACTTCTCATATCAGGATCAATATAATCTGTTTTATGCTTAACTAGGGGAGGGACAGCTCTGTATTATTTCTTTATATTTCATCCTGTGTTAATTTACATATCTCCCTTCTGCTATTCATATAATTAGGGGAACTGACTGCTAGTGATCTATGCTGTTCTATTTTTACAAATGTAAAAGTTTTTATTTAACTTGTATTTATATGTATGGGATGCGAGTGTCACAGCATGGATGTGCAGACGTCAGTTCTGTTCTTCTACCATGTGGGTTTTGGATTGAACACAAGCTGTCAGGCACGGTGGCAAGCTACTGTATCCCCTGAGCCATCTCATCAGTCTTTCCCACCCCAAACATGTACTTTTTCAAATTGAAAATACAAATATCTAATCTCAAATGTTGCATTTCTCACTGATGGCAAGCCCAAGATCACAGAGGAAATGCAATGGATTATGTGCCCTACCTACGTTCTAGAATTTGGGATAATTCTAAATTTCTTTATCTATTACAGAGATAGCTCAGTAAGTCAATAAGGTCTTCATTCTTAAGACTATCTGGAAATGATTTCATTGAGCTATATCAATGACCTTCCCAAAGCTATGTAAGGAGGGGCAGGACTTTTAACTCTGTCTATAATCTTCAAAGTGAATCTATCCTATTTCTTTTAGACATTATGTGATCAATGAGAAAGTACTCACAGACAGACTCACGGCATTTTTTATTTCATGGAAAAACAATAGAAGAGAATTGACTCTTCAAAGTCAAACTTGCATCAAAACTTAGAAATCTACTTCTTTATTGCCACTTCTCCAATAAACACCACACATTAAAAAACAAAACAAAAGGGGCTGGAGAAATGACTGAGCAGTTAAAAGCACTGGCTGCTCTTCCAGAGGACCCAGTTCAATACCCAGCACCCACACGGCAGCTCACAACTGCCTGTAACTCCAGTTCCAGGGAACCCAACACGCTCACACAGACATACATGCAGGCAAAACACCAATACACATAAAAATAAAAAAAAATAAATATTAAAGCAACAACAAAAACTCCTAAGGGAACAGAATACTCAAAGCTCAGTCCTCTCTTCCTTCTCCCTTTGATCCTAGTCCAGAAGAAAAACTTGTTAAATACTCACTACCCTAGTTTTGGCATAGGAAATACAATATTCAGAAACAATACCAGTAAGGAGAAAAACAGAAATTAGGAATGTTTAGTTGTTGAATTTTCTCATCCACTCATACCTGCATTCTTCATCACTTTTAATGAGGGGATCAGAGCCGACGGTGCCCACCAGGAATTTGGGACTAAGCAAAGGCAGGCGAACATGCTGCAGCACCTATGGGGTAACAAACACAATTAAGGCACAGCTCCCATTACAATCTGTTAGGAGTACTGACTCATGCTTACTGACTGTGCGGACAGGAGTTTTGGAATCTAACTGGACATAATCAATTTGGAAGGGTGGAAGGGATAAAGAGTAAATCTAAAATTTATTCTATCAATGTAGACTAGTTACAAAACCATAAACATACTAGTATCACTTTAGAATGCTTTCATCAATAATTTCTAAACTCTTAGACTATACTTTCCATGTTGCAGAGATGTCTCAGCTGTTAAAAAGTACTTGTTGCTCTTGCAGAGGACCTGGTCATAATGCCCAGTATCCACATGTTGAATGTAACTCCAATTCCAAGGAATCCAAAGTCCTATTCTGACCTTTGTGGGCACCAGGCACACACATAGCGTACTTATATACATGTAGGCAAAACACTCACACATATAAAATAATAGAATAAATAAGAAAATATTAAGAAAATATACTTTCCCCTTATCTTTAATTTTGTTTTCTACATTTTCAGTTATTGGTTGTCAACTTTGGTCGGACAACAATAAATGAGAAATTCCAGAAATAAAAATTTGTAAGTTAAGTAACTTTTATTACAGTATACTACTATAAATATTCTGTTTATAATTAGTTACTGCTAGTCTTTACTGGATCTAATTTATAAAAAAACTTTATCACAGAATATATATATATACATATATGTATATATATATTAAAAAAACCACAGTATATATAGGGTTTGACATTTTAGGCATCTTTAAATATCTTGGAATGCATCTCTTCTGAATAAGGCGGACTAGACTCATGACAAGAATGAATCTTAAACATGTGACCGCTCAGTCCCACTTACTGTTCAAAGTGTGGTAGGACTTCCAACCTAAGGGAGCAGATACATTCCTGCTTTCTTTTGTAATTTTATATAATTCTGAATTGTGTAACAGTTCAAACAAAATGAATACCAAACAGACAGGAAGCAAAGGAGCAATAAGTTCACAACAATAAGCAGGCAAATGCTTCTGAAGGCTTACTGCCTAGACCATATGGAAACAAGGACTGTTTTGTCTCTGCACATTACTTGTGTCTAGTACAAAGCAACCTCTCGGAGAAGCATTTTGACTCTTACCTGGGGTAACTGAGGACGCCTTTCCTGAATACTGTATTTGACCCAGGCCATCACTGCATTGAACACTTGTTCTTCACTCCGAACATTGAGCTCGTCACTAGATATTATATCAATGAGTTGGTTGGCTGGCAGTAACATAAATTCTTCACTCTCCATTACCTGTTCAGATTTAGGTAGGAAAAAGGAACCTATAAGCACAATTTTTGCCTTTATTTGTTTTTATTGTTGTTGTTATAGGGAAAAATTATATTCTACAATGGAGCTAGTGTTTAAAACACGGAGGAGGGTTGGAGAGATGGCTCAGAGGTTAAGAGCACTGGCTGCTCTTCCAGAGGTCCTGAGTTCAATTCCCAGCAACTACATGGTGGCTGACAGTCATCTGTAATGAGATCTGGTGCCCTCTTCTGACCTGTAGGCATAATTGTATACATAATAAATATATAAATCTTTTTTTTAAAAAAAAAAAGGAGGAAAAGAAAAGTTTCAAAAGAGAATAAAGGAGAGCAGGAAACACATACAATGTTACCAAAATTAATTCTTGTTTAGTTGAAAAGTTTTCCCCTTTAAAATATTAACAAATAAGATAAAAATTTATATTCAAAATAAGCTACACAATCATACTAAATTAAAGCTTCATAATGATAGGAGGTATATAAATTCCAGGAAAAACTTTTAGAAGAAGATCAGCTGCTAAAAGGACAGAAACATCATGGGCTCAGTTTACAAGAATATAAAGTTACCACTGCATGCATAAATATAATGAAGAAAGAATTGGACTGAGGGAAACTTCTGAGGACAAAATCACTATGAGATAATATTCTAGTGAGAAATTATACACATCCATGCTTACTTTTACCCAAGTCTTAGAGAGAATTATCAGAACGGAAATGATGTGGCAATAAAGACATTGCTCTGTACAGGTCAGCCACGAATTTGAAGATCTATTTATTGTGATGTGGCGGAAAGGGTGAAAGTGCAGGAAGGGAAACACTGTTGCTACCCTCTAGGTGGTTTCTCTATTATACTATACATGATGTCTGGTGGCACAGACAAGGTACTGCTACAAGTTCAGACTCTGTGTTGCCTTTAATGAGCACAATGGATTATTTTTGGGACAGGGCTATTTTCTTATTCATCAAAAGGTTATAATATTTAGCAGGACATGATAGGACTTAATAATACTCTAAACATTTGATCAAGAATGTTTCTTTCAAAAACATTAGAGAAAATACAAATCACAAAATTAGCAGTCAGGAGCCATAGTTATTTATTACCTTTTATGGCACGAAGATTCAAATTATCTGACTTTCTAGGGGTCAGGATATGCAACAGTTAACCTTGACATTTCACCTGAGTAACTAGTTAGCCAGATGAAACAGTAATGAACATGGTTGCATTTCACTTCCTGTGAAGGGCTGCCAGATTTAGGGGAACCCCCCATAAACCAGACCCTATCTACAACACAAACAATGTGTTGCTTTTCTGGAATTTATATTTAACTGGAGCCCATTTTACTGGGCAAGTCTAATTTGGGTGCTGTGGGTTCTTCAATGTCCAGAAACAACATTTGGGCCACTTCTAGTAAGAGTTCTGGCCTCTGTGGTCTACAAACTTCAGCTGCGGCTACCTTTCACTGTTACCTTATGTATTTCCCAGTTTATTTTTGTTTGAGTTCAAGTTTGGTATTGTGTATCTTTAAAAATGCCTTAACATTCTTTTAAAATTTCATCAGAAGATAATTTTTTTCTATTATATGGATTAAAAAAAATATTAGCAGGCTGGGGAATATAGCCCAGTGGTAAAAGTCTTACTTTGCATGTGCAAGGACCTGGGTTCTATTCCCAAACTATAAACCACCACAAGTCTGTACTGAGATTTTCTCTTGCCATAATCAGAAGGGCTGTAATGAATAAAACAAGCTAAATCAAATGCTGAAAAAAATGAGGGTAGGAAAGACCTCTTATGCATGGTTACTAAGAACATATATTAATTTTGCTGCTATGGAAAATAGTACGTAAATTCTTAGACACTAAAGGGAGAATGATCCTGTGGCATGACTTAGATACATAATCAAAGGAGTCAACGTCAGCATACAGTAGATACCTGCACAGTCATCTTCACTGCAGCACTGCTCATAACAGCCAAGCCAGGGCGTCCGTCTGGGGTTCATAATGGACAAGTGAAGAAAATGTGGTATACACAGTGGAAAGGTTTCCCTTACAGAGTACAAAGTTAGCTGCCTATAGTGGCTCTGTCAGTAATCTCAGCACTTGGGAGGCCGAAGTGGAAGAATTACTGTCAGTTCAAGGCCAATTTGGGCTCCTTAACACTACTAATCTGTTTTCTATTATTAAAATGCTTATATTTACTTAAGGCCAATGACCTTAATATTAATTTTCAGAAGCTTCCTGGAAATATACATATAAGTAGGAAGTAATGCAATATATGTAAACCTTCTTTTGAAAAAACATGTTCATTTTATTATTTTTGTGTGTATGAGTGTTTTGCCTGCATGTATGTATGTACCACGTGCATGCCTGGTGCCCATGGAGGTCAGAGGATGTCAGATCCCTGGGACTGCAGTTATAGATAGTTGTGAGCCACCATGTGGGTGATGGGAATTGTACCCAGGTCTTCTGCTAGAGCAACAAATGCTCTTAAGTGCTGAGCCAATGCTCCAACTCTATGTCCGGTTTTCTTTTCTCCTTTTCTATTACCCAGTGCCAGTCACTCTTTTGCTAACCACCAGTCAGTACTGGGAAGACTGCAAGGTGCTCCTTTATCTCTGCAGGGGCTCTCATTGGCATTATTTAATCACATTTATGGAGCTGTTTTAAAAACAAAAAAGCTTCACATATTTAGAAACTAAATCTAATTTTTTCCTTTATGGCTTCTGGGTTATATCTCATTTAAAAGAGACTTGAACCAAGATATAATCTCAGTCTAACCCTTCAAGGAATATAGATCCATAGAAAGAGTTGCCTGTTCAATACCAAATACAGAACCTCAATCTACCTCTTCAAACTCTTCTGCTTTCTTGTACACATAGTATAAATTCCTGAGAATGCCAGGTTTAAAAGTGGGTGTAAAGAGTTATCTTTATAGATACTGTCAAGTTTCCTTTCAAGAGGGTCGTGTCAATGCATATTTATACCAGCAATGAACCTATGTTCCACAGCCTCACCAAGAAGATATATTACATTTAAGGATAATTGCAACCCAAAAGATGGTGCTTTGACCAGATATACTAGGTGTGTCTACAAATGCTAGCATGTAAGGGGCTGAGGATGGTTGATGCTGAGTTCAAGGCCTGGGCTGAAAAGTAAGACAGCATCTCAAAAAACAAAGCTGGAGGGAAACAGCACTTTGGTGATTTGTAATTTGTCTTTTCATTTTTTTTGAATAAACAAGTGGACTTTCAGGAATTTAAGAACAGTCAGAATTTCTATCTCTCTATATTGTCTATTTTTCTGCTAGCTCACTGGTATTAATTACTGGTGCTCTCAATGCATTAAGTAGACTAGTCTTTTGATAGTAAATAAAGGTTGCAAATATTTTCCTCAATTTGTATTTGGCCTTTGTTTTAGTATCACCAAAAAATTCTATATGTGATAAAATTGATGTTTTTGACTTTTAGCCTTTCTAGTTTATCACTTAGAAATGCTTCTTCATTTCCAGATCAAATTGGGATTGTTTCATATTATTACTATGTTGAATAAATAATAAAAGTGAATTTAATGAAAATTCTTTTGGTGCCATCTAAATTTCTTTTTTTTAATTTACCAAATAGTTGGTGTATAACTTATCCTGTTGAATAAACTGTCTAATCAGGAGGGAAATGTTATAGGAAATCACTTCTCTGATGCACAGGTTCTCTCATGCATAAATAAACCATGCTTTGGCTTATTAATAAACCCCTTATGAAGATGATTAGGGAGAAACAACTTTTGCTGGTAGAATACAATATTGGCCTTTAAAAATCACTAATACGTGCCAGGTGGTGGTGGCGCATGCCTTTAATCCCAGCACTTGGGAGGTAGAGGCAGGCAGATCTCTGTGAGTTTGAGGCCAGGCTGGTCTACAGAGCAAGTTCCAGGTCAACCAAGGCTGTTAAACAAAGAAACCTTGTCTAGGAAAAAAAAAAAAATCACTAATAGGCTTAATTTATGCAACCTATTTATTTGATACTGTAAGCAAGAACCAGAATACAAAACAGGAGTTAGTTTAGGAGAACATAAATTCTTAATTTATGTTCATAAGATAGCATAAATTATGCTCTCTTAAATTAAAAAGTATTTATTGTTATTGTTGTTGTTATTATTCTTATTGTGTGTATATGTGCTACGGCACAACATTCTCTTCTTCCACCATAGGTTCTGATGATACAATACAGATTTACCAAACTGGACTATCTCACTGGCCCCCTGCAGTGGTTTGAAGGAAAACGGCCTTGATGGAGGAAGGGTGCCACTGTGACGGCAGGCTTTGAGGTCTCTTTTGCTCAAGCTTCCCTCAGCATAACTCTGAGTTGATTTCTGTTGCCTGCAAGATGCAGCATTCTCAGCTGTAGCATTATGTCTGCCTGCACGCTGCTCTGCATGCTGCCACGCTCCCCATCATAATGACAATGGACTGAACGTCTGAACTGTAAGCCTCTACCCCAATTAAATGTTTTACTTTATAAGAGTTGCCGTGGTCATGGTACCTCTTCAAAGCAATAAAACCCAAAATAAATCACCCCCTGTTGCTCTATTAACAAACAGATTATGAATACATTCAAATCACTTAGTACAACGTGTGTGTGTGTGTGCACATGTATGTGGTGCACGTTGTCCATGCACGTTTGTGTAGAGATCAAAGGTCAATGTTGGGTCTCTTCCTTTATCATTCTTATTATTCTTATATTATTATTACTATTTTATTTGAGACAGGTGGGGCTTCTCACTGAACCTGGAACTGTTTCAGGAAGACTGGTTGGTCAGCAAGCCCCAGGATCTTTCTGTTTCTGTGCCTCCAAAGCTGATTACAGGTGCCCACTGACATGCCAGGCTCCTATATTGGTTGTCAGGAGCTTAACTCAGGTCTCTGTGTTTGCATGGCAAGAACTTTATCCAGTGAGCTATCTCCCTAGCCCACAACTCACCTCTTGAAAGTTATGTTGTGTGAACTTGTCTGCAATCCTTAGTAACTCACGGCAAGAATGCGTGTCAGCAAAAGCCCGAATGCCCAGGCAATTAGAAGGGTCTAATTGTCTCTTTAAGAATTCACAGCAGGCTTCCTGTATTTCTGCCAGCTGGAGGAGGCAAGCAGCAGGCAAGAGGGTCTGAACATTGCCTTCTTCCACAGTTATCTGGGAGGTATATGCGAAGTCAATCAGTAGTTCCATAGCCCTCTCATCTATGTCTCGGATCACTACTTCTGTCTGGCGGCTTTCGGCCAATTCTCCTGTAAACATTGCTCGGAAGTAGGGACTGCAGGCCGACAAGATGACTCGATGGGCATATATCTTCTTAGCGCCCACAACTAGCACCACATCACATAGCTCTCGGTGCTTTCTCAGAAGGTTGATCACTTCCAAGGTTTGCCGAGGGTGCTTGTCTGAGATATAGGGCATGCGAGCAGGTTGGGGAACCCCTTCTGGCAGTTTGTTGGGGTCTCCAAGGGTGCAGCGGCTTGTTACATCCATTCCAGTCTCTCCTGGTCGAATGTTGGTACACCTACGGGAATGAGGGAATGGAGAGAGATGGAATTATTATTAGTTCTCTTTTTGTTCTAAGGTATTGATAAGTGGTAAGAAAACTTGAAATTGCCTAAAGAAAGAACTTTAAGAACTCTAGAACTCATACATTTCTTCCCAGGTTATTAATTCCATTCCAGACTACTTTTATTATATAATTTCATGAAGAAGATATTTTTTTCCAGAAGTATCAGACTATCTTTGGCCACATTACTTACATTAATAAAACTGATGAAAAGCTGACAGGTGGAGAAGAAGAACCAGTCAAAACTAAGACTGTCTGAGAGAGCCCTAAACAAACCTGTCATTTTGCATATGAATTAAGAACTAAAATTTATGTAGCCTGTTTTCTGCTTCCCTCTGCTTTGGGATCTGTGGACACAAAGGACTCTGTTCTGGGAACCTACTGGTGCTTGGTGGGCTGATAGGGAGGAAAATTTCCCTATAGGATGCTGGGATTCTGTCTCCATGTCCACATATGTGGATGAGATGCTGCCTGAATTTCAAGTTGTGTCTAGCCAGCCATTTGTGAGCAGAGTCCTGGCTGCCTTTGAGTTCATTTACCCTCTTACCTCTTGTGGCACCAGAACACAATTTCTTCCATGGGTACTCTCACTGAAAGTTCATGCTCATATGAACCCATGGTTTTCAATATCAGAGCTTATTTCCTAATATCATGCTCTATTTGAAGAAAGTATAGATTTAATTTACAATGAATGATAGAAGTTCATATGGGGAAACAACCCAAGGACCACTAGCAATGAAAAACTCAACATCAAACCACAATGTTATATGAATATTGTTCCTTTGTTGGATTATCTAAATTTTCTTCTTCAGTCCTAAGTGGAGGAAGGCAGCTATAAATTTGGATGATTAAGGCTGCCTTAACAACCTTGTACCAACTACATGAGGATGACATCATCTCTTTTAAGTTGGAGAGGTGCCTATTTATTATTTCCCAGTTTTTTTTTTTTGGTTTGTTTGTTTGTTTTTGTTTTGTTTTGTTTTTCGAGTCAGGATTTCTCTATGTAACAGTCCTAGCTGTCCTGGAACTCATTCTGTAGACCAGGCTGGCCTCGAACTCACAGTGATCCACTTGCCTTTGCTTCCTAAGTGCTGTGATTAAGGATTTGTGCCAAACCCAGTCAGCAGTCTTTTCAGTTTTTTTAATGTGCTTTCTTTTTTCTTCAAGACAAGCTTTCTCTTTACAGCTCTGCCTGTCCTGTAGACCAGGTTGGCCTCGAACTCAGAGATTTGCCTGGTGCTACCTCCGTAAGTGTTAGGATTAAAGGCATGCGCCATCGCCAGCTTGCTTTAAAATGAGTTTGCTCTTCTGTATTCACTTACTAACTCTGTATGTTTAAAACGGAGTTTTCTCAAACTTATAAAATTGTAACAAGTGATTTAAAAAATAAAGGTTTGAATATAGAAAATAAAAATTTAAAAATTCGTAAAAAGCCATTTAAAATTTGTTTCTGGAAAAAACCCCACCCCTCCCAACAGACAAATCAGACCTATAAAACTGTTTTAAGACGTTGACTATGCCTATTTTCTTTAAAGATTTTTACACTTATTTATTTGTTCAGTGTGTGTGTGTGTGTGTGTGTGTGTGTGTGTGCATGCACACATGTATGCCATGGCACGTGTGGAGGAAAGAGAACAACTTGTGGGAGGTGCTTCTCTCTTTCACCATGTGGAGTCTGGAAACCAAAGCAGAACATCAGTCTTGCCTTTACGCACTGAGCCATTTTGCTGAGCCTAAATTTCAATTTTTTTTTAATTAATTAATTACTTTTTTTTTTTTGAGACAGAGTCTCTGTGCATAGACCTGGCTGGCCTCTAACTCAGAGATCATCTGACTCTACCTCTGAGTACTGTGTTTAAAGGTCTGCGTCACTTGCCTGGCTCTAAAATTTTATTCTTAAACTTAGTTTGATTCAAATCTTGATATTTGTTACTTTCCTAAAGTAGTTGGCATTGACTTTTCCTTTTCATTATATTCACTTTGTATTTCTAGTTACAGTTTAGCACAAAGTCTGTAACACAGAGTTCATATTACATGAAAAGTCAGGAAGAAAACAAGACAGCCATAACCCCCCAAATCAATACAATATATTTAATACTCTATTTCTTTGACTTAACTTTCAAGGGATGAGCTATTACTACAAATGACATGTAATTCATCTTAGGAAGTCTTATCAGTCAGGCATGACTGTAATCCCAGTACTTAAGGCTGAGCTAAGCCGATCAAGGGCAGTCTTGGCTACATAGCAAATTCTTGTCTCAAAAACAGCCTTATTTAATCTAATAAGGTGTGTGTCGAAAATATACTGTCAATTATAATGGCTCTAAAGAACTTTTTAAAAAGTCAGCACATACCCGCCCACATACACATTTTAAATCACAAAATCAAAAGCACAGTTATATAAAGTACAGCATGCCAACTTGATGCCAGGCAACTGCTGGGAGTCAAACATAGTCAGAGGGTTCTGCGATCTCTAATGAGAGGAGCTTAAAATCGAACTGTGACTAATAGTGAAGAGTTACGTAAGTGCGAGGTTTTTCACCAGTAAGAAAAGCTCTGAGTAACTCTAGTATTGTGTCTACATTTTTTTTTGTTTTTTCAAGACACACACATATACAGATAGAAAAATTAAAAGTAAATTTAATATTTAAATTTATTCTGAATTAAGAATTCTGCAAGTCTTTGACCCTTTTGACAGTGTCAGGTATGGGCTCTATCTCATGGAGTGGACCTTATAGCCAATTAAAAAGTAGCTGGTTACTCCCAGAACATTTGTGCTACTATTGTACTAGTATATCTCGAAGGCAGGTCATGTTGTAGGTCACAGGGTTTGTAGCTGATAATACTGATGATTACTCTTTTTCTCTGGCAGCATGAAAAATACCTTCTAGCACCATGCATTCTAGTCAGTAGGGGTGAAGTTCCTAGTTGGGCACCAGCTAGAAAGTCATGGTCAATGACATAAGTAATGTATCTCCAGCAATAGGGCCTGACCAGGTTATAGAAAGAAACTAATTATCTTGACAACAGCCCGTGATATTTGAGTGGTGGTGGTGAGCTCTATGGGACCCAACAACTCAACAAGATGTAATCCATTCCTGGTACTGGAGGTTTTACTTGGCAGCATAAGTTGGGCATTGTCTCTCCCATTATATCGTGATTCCATTTAAATTCCTTTTGTACATGTATATATTTTTAGGAAGCTTCTACAATAGTAAGCTTCCATATGGCTTTTCAAAAGGCTTTTTACTATTGGTTGTTCCTCCACATATGCCTACTTTACCCTTCTCTCCCATCCTCATCCCATTTGATCTTTCTATTCTACTTTACCTTTTATTTCTTTCTAACACTTTTGGACTAGACAGAGCACCAGCTCTAGGGAAAAACTTACTTCTATTATTCTGTTAAAGGCACATAGTAATAAAATTACTCCTAATGGCATACTGCTATACCCATAGCTCTGCCTTCATCAGAGAAGTTGCTTTTTGCAGTAGACAATAATTAACACAAAGACCTACAACTAGACAGAGAGTACAGAGAGTGAGAGACTTTGGAGCTCTCAGCCCTAAATGGTTCTTTTTCAAAACCCTTCTTAAAGACTCGGGGATCTATTAGAAGAGGAGGCAGAAGGATTTTGAGAGCTAGAGGTGGTAGATGACTTTAAGCAGCATCTCCAGATACAACAGGATGGATGCACAGATGAACTCATAGACTATGACAGTACACACCAGACCTGCACAGGTTCAAAGTAGACAAAATCCCAGCATGATAAGGGGAAGTGGGTAAAGTCCTACCTCTAACCAAGAAGCTATTTGAGATTGATTTTTGCTATGAGTGGGAAAATCAGTTTTCTCCAACGATGTGTCACTGGGTGTATCAGCCACAATCCAGGGCAGGTCTCATGCCTAGGAGTAGTTGGTCAACACACAACAGACTCCATGTTTGTGTGTGTGTGTGTGTGCTTTTTGTTTTTGTCTTACTATTTTGTTTTGTTTTTTATTTTTTTCAGAGAGGAAGAAAATGAATATGAAGTTGGGTGAATAGGGAGGTGGGGAGGATCTGAAAAGAGTTGGGGGATGGGAAAGAATATGATTCAAATATACTGTATGAATTTTTTTGTTGTGTTGTTGTTGTTTTGAGACAGGGTTTCTATGTAGCCCTGGCTGTCCTGGAACTTGTCCTGTAAACCAGGTTGTCCTCAAACTCAAGAGATTTTTCTGCCTCAGCCTCCCAAGTGCTGGGATTAAAGGTGTGTACCACCACTGCCTGGCAGAAAATGCTTTTAAATCAAAAATATTCGTTAAAAAATTCTGTTTTTAACAGGAACAAAGCAGAAAACTTTTAGACCTCAAAGATACAGAACCTAAAGTGATTGCCTTAAAAACCGAGTCTTACTAGGTTCAATAAAGACATACTCCAAACAGAATTTCAGCTGAACCCACCCATCCACTCGTGGCAGGGGAAGCCAGGATTGGAGATCCAGTGGTAACCTCCTCCCAACCTCAGCTAATTTTTTTTAACTGACAAACGTGAAGTGATCAATTAGTGATCAATGCAGATTTAATATTCAACTTTTAATTTTCAAACCTGCCAATCATTCAGCCCTCCTACTTGTATTACTTATTTGTATACAAAGGTTTTATTCATAAATGAAGGGGATGAGGGATAACCCTCCCTTTGACTAAAGTATCAAGTATTCTACCTTAGTGATAATCACGTGATGTGATGCATTTACTCTGTTGCAGGTAGTAACAGCTGGAAACAAAGAACTGGGCTCTTCTTTCCATTTCTGATCAAAAAATGCTGGAAAAGACTTTATATTATTTGTGATAGAATACAAAAGTATAAAGTACACCAAATCTCAGTTGGGTAAAATAAATTCTGTCATACTAACAATTTTTTTCCCTCTCACTAGCAGTGAAGAAAACCCATACACATTTAATGAACAGAAGCTG